AATCCGCTCAATCCACATCCGCCGGATTGGCGGACGGATGCGGATTGATTTTCTCCAATCCACTAATCTGGCGGACGGATAGCGGATTGGAGGTTCCGTGGCCGCAACCGACCCGCGCCCACCCCTAGTAATTTATGCTAGATTATATATATATATATATATCTCATGCATATCTTGTGTAATCTGGAGTAAATGAAATATCAATTTTGCAATAAATAAAACATTAAATGAATGGGATAACTCTTGTCCCCAATTCAACTAATATAGGTATGACTTTTCTTAAGTTGTTATCTCAATTTGAAAAAGCGTTTAGATTTGGTAGATTTATTTTAGAACCGATTTCAATACATCGGACTGTTCACTTTTTTGAATTCGTTAAGCAGAATATTCATACAAAACATAAGATAACCGGATATCGATAGTTAAATGTTTGAATCATATTTGTTTTAAAAATATGAACGACAAATATAATTTTAAGAATAACCATTGTAATAAAAATTTGATTCAAACATATAACTACCGATATCCGGTCATCTTAATTTTTTGCATGCATAGTTTACTTATAAAATTCTAAAAAATAAACAGTTCGGATAATTGAAATAGGATATATGATGGTTTCACGAGCCCATTAAATTCTCTCATATTATAATTTTATTACAATGTGAACATAAGAAAAATCTAATTGAACTAATATTTAACATTTTTTTGTTGTTGTTGTTATTATTGTTGTTGTTGTTATCATCATCATCATCCTAAAAACATCAGTGGGCTTTTAAAGGAAAAGGGATGAGCAAAGGCCTTAAACCTGCATGAAAAGTATAGAAACTTATGTCCACCTAAAGTTATAAAATGTAAAAGGGGATTCCCATACCAACATCGTTTTATAATAGAAAATAATAATAATATTATATATACTAATAAATTTTACAAACTATCTTGATTTACATGTGAGATTTATCCTATTATAAAATGACTCTTGTTTCAGATTTTTAAATTTTACTTGCCCTTTGTTTATTTGGATGAAATATATTTTTTTGCATTAGATACAATAAAAAACAAAAATTCAACAGCAAATATTTTTTGTGATTAATAAAAAAAAAATTTATTTTGACATAAACAATTTTTCAATTTTAAAAGGTAAAATATATTTTGCAACCTAAATCTTAGCAATGAATGAGTTTGTCTCTAGTACTTCACAACTCATCTTTATGACAAATTTTGTGAAGGAATGGGTTTGTATGTAAGCTATGTTTTTTTTGAATTGTATGTAAGCTATGTTTGGTTTTGACTTTTTGTCTAAAAAGGTACAAAAGATAAAATTGGTTACATAAGTTAATAAGATAAAATGTACATTCAAATCATAAATTGTTACACCTTTCTCTCCAAAAGTCCAAAAATTCAAAAACAAAAACCAAACAAGGTTAAAAAAGTCAGGCTAAAATAGTCAAAAAGTCAAAAAATCATGCTATTTTAGCTATTCCCATACGAAGACATGGAGAAAATATTTGATATCCTCAAAAAAATTCTCACAATTATACCAATAATGATATGATATTTTATGTGTTAATTTTAAATTTATTACATATTCAATAATATAAGACTTAACTCTAGCTTGCACAATAATGTGTCAAGGGTGACACATTATTATGAATGAATTTGTGAGTCTAAAATTGTGAATGTCTAGCATTGCTCTGTCTAGTCCTAGTGGGATTATTGCACGGGCTTGTGAATCATTGGTTGTTTTGGGAATAACTTATAATTTGACTTTTTTGTTTATTATAAAAAAATGTGTAAAAAAGTAAAGAAGTGATACAATTCAAATAAACCAATGAATAGCTTATTTAGTGCCTTCCCAAATGAGGTCGGCTTTTGATTCAAATCCATTATTTTATAAAGAGGCAATTATATATCAGTGGAAATAGAAATAATAAAATAAAAATTACAAAAGGGTGATAAACATTATAATTAAAAAAAATTGTAAATATATATTTTTTATTTTTTTATTTCTACTGGTATGTAATTCCCCATTTTATGAATATCTATGTCCACATCATTCATAAAAAAAAATTAAATTAATAAAATAATTGTAAATATATAATTTTGTCATATTTTGTGTTTACATATATGGGTGATGTTATGTTCATCATTAATTTTTAAAGAACAACTTGAAAAAATAATGTAATTATAATTATCGAATCAATATAATTTTTTTTTATGTATAATATATACATAGAAAATTATACAATTAATGTGATGGATCCACAATCCTAGATTACACCAATTAGACTGCGGATAAATCAGTTTTGTTGTATTTAAGTTATGTTTGGTTTTGGCTTTGTGGCTAAAAGACAAAATTGATTATATAAGCGAATAAAATAAAATATCACATCTAAACCATAATTATTATACTTTTTCTCTCATAAAAGTTTAAAAAATCAAAAATAAAAACTAAACGAGACTAAAAAATCAGGTTAAAATATCTAAAAAAACTAAAAAGTCAAGTTATTTTAATTGTTCTTAAACGAAGACTTAGATTGTGAATTTAAGTAAAAATTTTGAAGAAAAAAGCAAAATAAATGGAGATGAAAACACAATCTTGGTAAAAGATTCCCCAATTATTTGTTTCAGAAATATTAAAAATCTTAAAAGTCATAGGCAACCATCACATGACATATTATATAAAAGAGCAATATCGGGGGGTTTGACAAGAAGGTTGGTTCAAATGGCTTGAATTTTATCTTGTTGGTCGTTTGGCGAGGAGGTTGACAGTCGCGGTCGACAAACGTGACAACACAAGCTTTCATCAGGTCATACGGGTAGAAGTCTGGCCAACACCTATTCAGGCCATTTGAGCCGCTCATTTTCGGGCCACCAAACATTTTACTATATAAAAATTTTGATATCGTTTTAAATTATTTATTTAATACAAAAAATAAAAATAATAAAATTTATAAATTTATAAATTTTGATACAATAATATATTATTTTTAAGTTCTTATTTTTGTGCCGAACAAATAATACATTTAATTTGTGAAAAAAAATTAAAAATTTTGACAAATTTTGAGATGAGAATATTAAGTTCTCATTTATGTGTCGGATTTAAAACAAAGATTCTATTTACACACCAATAATCCTCTTAGTACACATCATTACTTAGTACACACACATATAATAATTATTAGGGTTTGAAAATATCTTCGTTCACACCTTAGCTTTTCATTTCTAACCCTAAAGCAGCATACCACTTGCTTGAGTACACACCTCACCCACACACTATAGATCTCCATTATCGACGTTGAAGACCTCCATCGCCTACAGAGGGTTTCATTCAGCTGGTGCATTGTCATCATTGATGATCTCTATTGTTGCTGTCATCTTGCTGGTGCATTGTTAGCATTGAAGATCTCCAAAAATCTGCGATTCACACATTTGATTCTCACCTTGATCTGTTTTTCTTATCTGCTTTTGATTTGGTTACCGATTCACCTTCCATATCAATTTTTACTTCGAGTTTGGCTCAACACTAGTGTGGGATCCCTTTCCCGACAGCTCGACCCATTCCTCTAAGTCTAATGCTCACCAAAATAACTGGGGTGCAATGTGAGATATGTGCGAATGGTCTAGACTTAGCATATTTGATGAAAATCTATTGATCATATAGGAGTGCTAAATATAGATCAAATATGAGACATAGAGTCGCTATCTAATCTTTTATAGAAAACTTGGAAATCCTGACTCATGCCAAAGGCCATTGCCATCACAACCAAAGAATTTGATCAGGGAGTGTAGATATGAGAGGAGGAATGTCATAAATTGAGTATCCCCGCTCACCTGATAAAATATTGGCATCTACTAGTTCTTGATAAGTGATGATTTACTTAAGTTTGTTTGAAAAATATAACTTTTAGTAAAAAAAGTAAAAAATTATTATTATAAATTGTTAAATTATTATTATTAAATTTCTGCATATCTTTTTATTAAAAATTAAAAAATTACTGAAAAAGTTAATTCCAAATGAATTTGGGGTTGACTTTACATTTTTTTTGACTTTTTTAAAAATTAAAAAGGCTAAAGTATTTAGAAAGTTGTTAAAAAAATAATTTTTTGTGAGTAAAAGCAATTGATGTGCCATTTAATTTTTTTAGCTGATGACAAGCAATTTAGTGACTTTTTCAACAATTTGATAAGTTTTTGTCTATTAAATTTTGTTAATCAAAAACTACTTTTGTTTTGTTGTTTCAAACAATCTCTTAATGTGTTATTATTTTTATGAACCCAAAATATCAAATAATGTCATATAAATTTTTATCAAATTATATCAAATTATTATCAAATAATGTTTCAAACAATTTTTATCAAATAATATTGTGACATATCAAATTATTATGATTGTCATTAAAAAAATGAGTAATTATATTTACACATCGTATACATCACAAATGAATTTCAAATATAAATTTTTAAGCAAAAAAAATAAATATTTGAATACAAATTTATGAATATAATACAGTTGTTCGGATATAGGTAATTAAATAATATATATTTGAATAATTTATTTTTATTCATTACTTTAAATTTAAACATTTAATTTTTGTTTAAAAATTTATATCCAAACATCATTATGTATAAATAAAATTTTTCTTAAAAAATACGAAATGTTTTTATATTATTTTTTTAAAAATAAATTTTTGGACGTGGTCAATGGTCAACATTTGCCATCTAATAAATTTACACACCGAACACCCCCACTTCACTTTTCCAAGCATTTTACGATTAAAATAAACGGACTCAACGTCTTATCACTTATCACTGGTTCATATCAATAAGCACAATGACTTATCACTGATAGGTCAGTAGAGAAAAGATAGATAGACCCCTGCCAAACGCATCGAAGATAGCGAGACCCAGTCCCCCCGCACCCCATCTCTCTCTCTTATTTATCTTCTCTCTCTTCTCCGCAGCCTTTCCTATCGAAGCTTTTTTTTTCTCAGCCAAAAAAAAAAAAAAAAAAAAAACCAAAAAAAAAAAAAAAAACCTAGAAATTCCCGAAGCTCTCTCTCTCTTTCGATCCGGTGGTTTTCGAATTGGAATTCGGCGTTTTTGGAAGTGTTTTGGGTGTTTTTTTTGATTTGGTTGTCGATTTGAGATTTGAAAATGTCCTCGCTCAGCAGAGAATTGGTGTTTCTCATACTCCAGTTCCTGGAGGAGGAGAAATTTAAGGAGTCGGTGCACAAGTGAGTCTCTCTCTCTATATATATATGTGTATACATGTATGTATATGTATCTTTGTGTGTTGTAAATCTCGTCTCTGTTTTTTTTTATTTTATCAACTCTGTTTTGTTTGTGGGTAAAGGAAAATTTTGGGTTTTATGGTTTATGTTGTATTTGCTTCCCAATAGTTATTATTTTTTATTTTAAAAAAAAAAGAAAGGGAAAGGAAGAACATAAAATTGATCTCAAGTCAGTCCATTAGTTGCATAAGGCCTCGAGTGGAGGATTTTGGTTTTGGTTTTGGTTTTGGTTTTGGTTTTGTCTTTTCTTTTTTAATTTTTAAAGTGATTTTCCAGGTATTTTTAATGAATTATATCAGATTTGAAGTGATATTTTATGATCTGTGAATATATAGAAATTTTTGTTTGGAAGAGGAGAAAATAGAGCTAAAGAAGAAAGAAGTGAATTTAGATTTTAATTCTTTTCTATTGGCTTGTGGAGTTAGAATTTAGGCTTGTTAAGTTCAGAACCGAGTCAATGAATGAGGATTATTTGAGTGGAGTTTTTGTTTCTTGTGGGTTATAATGATTAAAAATGAAAAATAATAAATAAATAAATTTTGAGTTCAAAGAATCAAAGATTTAGTATAAAAATATATACATACATATATATATTTATAGGGAATGAATTTGACACTACTTTGTTAGCCTCTCACGCCCCTCTTGTGAGAGATGATGAAAAAAAAAAAGAGTGGTGAGAATCTAAAAGGGGATCATGAATATATAATTTTTTTACACACACATATATATATATTGGATTGTCGCTTAATCATATTTTGCAGATTTGAAATCGTTAATTTCATTTGAAATTGATCGTGGGTTTTGTAGGCTTGAACAAGAGTCAGGGTTTTTCTTCAATATGAAATACTTTGAGGAGAAAGTACATGCTGGTGAGTGGGAAGAAGTTGAGAAGTACCTATCTGGATTTACTAAGGTTGATGATAACAGATACTCCATGAAGATATTTTTTGAAATCCGGAAACAGAAATATCTGGAAGTTCTTGATGGGTATATTTATATTTTGTCTGTTTCTATTTTTGAGACTCTGTCATTGTTCACAAAGAGTTTAATTGTTGTTATGTGTTTGGTTGACATTATTAGGCAAGACAAAGCAAAGGCGGTTGACATATTAGTGAACGATTTGAAAGTGTTCTCAACATTCAATGAAGAATTATATAAAGAAATCACTCAGCTTTTAACACTTGGCAATTTCAGGTAAATGATTTTTTGTCATTACATAAATGTTATGTCAATGTGCGTGAGGTTGAAAATTGGAAGTCATTTTCTCGTATCCTCTGTTTAATTGATAAGAAGATGTGAGAAATGAATGTGAGATTTTGAATTATCGAACCACAAGACATGAGCCCTACTTAACTGAGCCTAACAAAATTGGTTAGCTTAGTTGGGATTCTTTCATTTTACATAGCATTTAATTTTTCAGTCATCTTGTTGCTTTAAAAGAACGAAATGAAGCCTTTAACTTTCCTCATTTTTTATTGCCAACTTAAAAAATTGAATGGAGAGTAGTGCTATACAAACAAAAAGCTTGTACAGAATTACTGTACAAAATTACATGGCTTATTGTGATTCATTCATTTAAAAATATAAATCCCATTATTACGACCATAATTTACAAGTGTGTCACTGCCACATCATTTTGGAAGCAGATTTTGTATATAAATTATGGTAAAAAATAGAATTTTCCGATGGAGTATTGGAAATTTCATGTGATTTCATGTCTCACCTAGCTCAAGGTAATATTATTCAGTAGTTTTAGTATTTCTAAATTCTGCCAAAAAAGTGAAATTTGAAAAATAGTAATTTATTTTGGAAGTTTATTATTGTCTTTGAATATCAGGGAAAATGAGCAGCTATCCAAGTATGGTGACACCAAAACAGCGCGTAGCATAATGTTGATAGAGCTTAAAAAACTCATAGAGGCAAATCCCCTTTTCCGTGAAAAGCTTGCTTTTCCTACTTTAAAGTTATCGAGATTGCGGACTCTAATCAATCAAAGGTAAATTTGGTTCCGTAATTGATGAAGTAGGAAGCCATGATTGTTTAAATGTTAAATTCTTGTGCATTTTTTATCTCCGTTATCATCTACAGTTATATTTGAGCCAAATTTGATGCTTCATCATAACATCCTTTTTACCAAGTCCACCTAATTGTTGCTTAATTGTTTCCGTAACTTCTTTGAAAAAATGCCCCTTTTTTTAAAATTATAATATTTGCAAATAATAGTTATAATAAATTCTCAATTAGTGGGTAGATATTGATTTTACTTACCATTTCTTTTTGGATGTTTCAGCGTATTCATGCCTTTGTTACAACTTGTGGTTGTTATGGCAAAAAATCATTTGCATATGTTTACAGTGGTGCTTACTTTTGCTTGCCCTCAGGAATTTTGGGAATCTGTCAATGTTCATTTTGCTTGTCATTCTTGTATATATTGCAATAGAAATGTAGATAAATGTGCTGTCCACTGTGCATGTTTAACCTCAGGATTCTAATTTTATTGTTGATCCAGTTTGAACTGGCAGCACCAACTCTGTAAGAATCCAAGGCCAAACCCAGACATAAAGACATTGTTCACAGATCATACCTGCACACCTCCAAATGGTGCTCTTGCACCTACTCCTGTCAATCTTCCGCCTGCTGCAAAGCCTACTGCTTATACATCACTTGGAGTGCACGGTGTATGATACCATTTATCTCATAAGTTTCATTTCCACGTTAATTACACTAAGACCCCTTCAACTATTAGTGAATATCATCCGACCCCCCTCATCTATGAACCCGCACATTTTGACCCATTCAACTACAAAATATATCACTTTCACCCTTTCCATACTACCTTCAGAAGGGGGCCATTTGTACAGTTTTTATAGTTGAGGGGGTCACTACGTATGGGTTAATATACGAGGGAGGTAAGGTGATATTAGCCAATAGTTGAGGGGGTCTTGATGTATTAATTATTAATTTCCCCACTCTATTATCTTTCTTTCCAGATCAATTACATATTTTGTTTTCATTGTGTTACTGATGAGTGTCTTGTTTCTATTTGTTGTGTGTAGCCCTTTCCACCAGCTGTGGCAACTGCTAATGCTAATGCCTTAGCAGGTTGGATGGCGAATGCTGCTTCTTCTTCATCTGTTCAAGCAGCTGTTGTTACTGCATCTTCCTTACCTGTTCCACCAAATCAAGGTCAGAGCTTTACTTCAACCGGAATTGGCACTGAAGCAATGACCTTTACTTGGAAATTGCCGTACTTGAAGCTACTTTTGTGGAACTTATATGAATTTTCTTCACTTGTTCTTATAAATTTCATTTGTGAGAAAAAATAAATCAATCTTTTAGTGGAGTTTTAAATTTTAAGGCCCATCTTTCTCTGTTATATTAATTTCTTTCTCATTTTTTTTTTTCTCTTTTTTTGAAGGGGTTAAGATTTTTTTATATTCATTGTTATTGATTTGTTTCCTAATCATGGAGGAAATTCTGTTCAGTCACATAGAAAAGATTCAAAAGAACTATCGAGAAGCTTAATTTCTTATTTGCAACTTAGAGGAATATTTAGATGCTCTGTCGGTGAATGGTTTGTTGTGTATTTTGCTCCTCTGCAATAGGTGGCAGTAGACCAGATATTCTCCTGATTGTGTAGCCTATAATCCTCTATAGTTGATCATTGTTGAGTTGTCAAGTTAGCTTTCGCTTATTTATGTATATCTCATTGAGTATGTGGTTGAAGTATTCACTTATTCTTTTGAACAGTTCCCATCTTGAAACGTCCATTAACGCCTCCAACAGTCACTTTAGGTATGGTTGATTATCAGAGCAATGAACATGAACAATTAATGAAACGCCTGCGTCCAACACCATCTGGTGAGGAGGTAATCTTGAGGAGTTACTGTCTGTTTATCCTTTTATGGATATTTGTCCTTTCATGGATAATTGTGATGCCTTCTGACATTGCGCTGTTAAAACTATTTGCCAGGAGTTCTACTTTTTTTTTGAACACCGCCAGGAGTTCCACTTGATAACATGATTCATTACTAATGGCGTGTCTTTCTCTCTTCAGGTTACATATCCGACACCACCTCGGCAACATGCTCCTTGGTCCCTGGATGACTTACCAAGAACAGTGGCTTTTACCATGCACCAAGGATCAGTTGTCACTAGCTTGGATTTTCATCCTTCTCATCACACATTGCTTCTTGGTATGATGGTCTCTGATCGATGATTAGTTGACATCTGCTAAATGAAAATACATCTTCTCTTCTTCTTGTTCTTCTTTCCTTTATTTGACGTAGTCTCTTTAAAACAGTTGGTTCTGCTAGTGGTGAAATAACGCTTTGGGAGGTTGCAATGAAGGAGAAACTGCTTTCAAAGCCATTCAAGATATGGGACATGACAAATTGTTCATTGCCATTTCAGGTTCCCCTATTATCTTTCTGTGGTGATTACATTTTCAATACGTTTTCTAATTAGAAAATTCTTTGTTATTTGTCTTAGATTTCTACAATGTTGTATATGTAACATATGAGACATGTATGTAGGTCGTAAGCTGTGTGTATGAATTAATTCTGACCAGATTTAGTGCATCCTAGTTTTGTGGACAGTAGTAATTTTAAAATGTTTATCAACTAGCTGCAGCTTAGTAT